TAAGCTTGCATGAACTGGAAGAACAATCAAAGGCTCTTGCTAGTTGTACATTTGAGAAAAACACTTTATGGGGAAAAGAGGTCACATTCTTTCTCATTGTCCCTCTCTTTCCATGCATGATTGTATGACTTACATATATAGTTTTTCTCACAATAATAAAGAAGTTATTTATAATAGTATAATGACTAATCTATTGAAGATATATGAATATTTGATTGCAGATGGGATTGCAATATGGTTGTTCAGTAGAGGATGTTATGACAGGATTGTCTATTAAATGCAGAGGATGGAAATCAGTTTTCTATAATCCTCAAAGGAAAGCTTTCTTAGGTGTAGCTCCAAACACCTTGCCAGAAGCACTAGTTCAACATAAGAGATGGTCTGAGGGGGGCTTTCAAATTTTGCTTTCCAAGCATAGTCCAGCATGGTATGCTTATGGATTAATCAGTCCTGGCCTCCAAATGGCATATTGTTACTATCACCTGTGGGTGTTTATTTGCTGGCCAACTGTATATTACTGCATTATTCCTTCACTCTATCTCCTCAAAGGCATTCCATTGTTTCCACAGGTATGAATGTGATGTAAGACATTCTTCACTGGACTGAATATCTCTTTTAAGATAATAGATAAAATCATGTGAACGTTTGTGTTTGTAGGTTTTGACATGTATCAAAATTTTACCTTGTTTCATTGATCAGATGTCAAGTCCATGGTTCATACCTTTTGCATATGTGATTCTTGGCGATTGCTCTTACTGCCTGATGGAGTTTTTGTGGTCAGGAGGCACAATAAAGGGTTGGTGGAATGAGCTACGGATATGGCTGTACAAGAGAACAAGCTCTTACCTCTTTGCTTTTGTTGATACCATCTTGAAGTCTTTTGGCTTTTCAGAATCAACATTCGTAGTATCTGCAAAGGTAGCAGAAGAAGAAGTTTCCCAACGATATGAGAAAGACATCATAGAGTTTGGAAACTCATCCCCAATGCTCACTGTGCTAGCAACACTTGCAATGCTCAATTTGTTTTGCCTTCTTGGCATGTTCCTAAAACAAATGTTCATCACTGAAGGGGGTCTCAGAATGTTGGATTCAATGGCATTGCAAGTTATTCTAAGTGGGGTTTTGGTTGTCATCAATGTACCTGTGTACCAAGGACTCTTCCTAAGAAAAGATGAGGGAAGATTACCAATATCTGTTGCAGCAAAATCCACAGCATTGGCTCTAAGTGCATGTGCCCTCTTTATTTCCTTAAGTTAAGATGTTTAATATTTTCAGTCTTAGTTTTCTTTTACTATTGGTATATTTTTAGTCTTATTTCCTTTTACTGAACAATAAAAATATATCGATATTGGTATATTATAATTCTTTTTAATATATTTTAAAATATCAAAATCAGTGTGAACCAATATATTTTGCAGGTACAATATATTTTGAAGGTATAGTAGAGAGACAGCACAAAAAATCTAGTAAAATTTCCGAATTCTTGTAGAAAATGGTTGCAAACAAGTGCAATTCGGCTTCCCCAAATAATTTTTTTCTATATATTAAATTATTTTAGTGGAAATATCAGTAAGAAAATTTATCAGGAATTTCAGACACTTGTGATATCTGTGATAAAATCAGAAAAACTGTAATGGTTGTAAAGCCAGAGTTTTTTGTTATGAATTCCTTTCATCCATCCCACTTTGTTGAGATGTGTAAGGACCAGTTAATTGATGTTGAATTCCAATCTTCTCACAAAATTGTTTAAACTACCTTACTGCATACTCAGTTCCATTATAAGATATAAGCTTTTTTATTTTGCATCCAGCCTCATTTTCAACCATAAGCTTTAACTTTTGGTAAACATCAAACACCTCTGACTTTTGTTTGAGAAAAAACACTCAACTCATCCCTGTAAAATCATCTAAATCTTCTTGAATTTCTGAATATTGATATTGTCTACTCCAAATTGTTTTTTGCATGAGGCTTCTACTTTGCTTAGAAAAGTTTGCCTAGCAGTTTGTTTCTATTCTAAAGGAAAGTTTTTCCCTCTCATTTTTATAGACATTATCTCACATCCATAAGGATCATCTCATATTTCCAAAATGCAAGTATAATTCTTTTCGAGCATTTGTCCCACACTCAAAATACTTTGACTTAAATCAGACACAAATGAAACATCTATCTGAAATGTACTTAGTACCTGAAGAGTTTGAACAGTAACTACTCATTTGCCTTTAACATCAACACTTTCTACATTGCCAATAATGACTTTTGAGAAGTAGGTGCGAATCAAATTCCTTAAAAAAAAACTTGCATCATAAACCATATGACCCGTTGTCTATTAGCCAAGCTTCTCTGCTGCTATTGGCAGAATAATAAAAAGCAACAAATAAGTGCTCCTCAATATCCTCTTGGTGTTCAACAACTTGAACTTATTGTCCTTGCTACCTTGCCTTGATTTCACACACTTTTCTACATGACCAAGTTGATTGCTGGCCCTACATTTGACTCCAGGTATGAACCAATAATAATTTTGAGAGCAAGGTGAAAACTTCTCTTTCCAACCTCTTTTGTTGTTGTTGTCTTCTTTTTTTCCATTGCCTTTCTTCCACCAAAAGGTAATTACTCATCTATTTCTTCCTTAAGGTTTGTTTTTGTTGTTAGCCACAAAAGCACCTTTGACATTTTCTTCCATTCTCAGTGATCTTCTCTACTTAGTGTCTTGCAAAGCATTCACAAGTTCTGCTAGTGAAATCTGAGAAAAATCTTTATTTTCTTTAAGGGAGGAGGTTTTTTACTCAAACCTCGCCAGAAGACACAAATTTTCTCCACAACTCTTTCATTTTTAAGTTCTTCACCTAGCAATCTGATTTGAGTAACCACTTCATAAAGTCTGTCAGAAAATTCCCTGATTGTTTCAGATTCTTTAATTTTGATTGCTTCAAATTCTATTTCCAAATTTTGCACCTTCATCCTCCTTGTTCTTTCATTACCTTGGAACTCCTTCTTGAGCTTATCCCAAGCCTCTTTTGTTGTCTCAAGATCCAATATCTTTATAAAAACATCGTGTGTTGTTGCATGTATAATGACAAATGTTTTTTCCTTCCTCTGCCACTTCTTTACTATGGAATCTTAATCGAGCAACTGTTGGGTTGTCTGATAAAGGGCCTGGATTACTTCCATTTTCCTCCACTTCCCACAATGATTAAACTCTCAAATAAGTTCTCATTTTTGTAGCTCACAAATCATAATTTTCTCCAACAAAAGTAGGAGGTGGAGGTCAAGAGTTGTTGTTTGATGTCATCCTTTCTTATGGATATTTTTTTGTGGTTTGTGTATGACTTTCTCACTGGTTTTCACTCTTTCAGAGACCCCTAAAATCAATGAGTTCTTGATACCATGTTGTAAAATCAGAAAAACTGTAATGGTTGAAAAACCGGAAGAAAACATAGAAGAGGGTTTTTTTGTTGTGAAAATACATTATAGAAAAAGGGAAGTCAAAAGCCTTCTCACAATATTTTGAGTGCAATAAAATAAATACTACCATTCATTTTCACTTAAACATTAATCACACAATCAACTTTTTCACAAAACAAGATTTATAATTAATATCAACCTGACATGACAAAGCAGAACACAATATCTAGAAAAATCTCATTATGACAATATCTCAAAGAAATTAAACTCGACAGCTTTTCAAATGTGAATTTATCAGAAAAATTAAAAAGAACTATTTTCAGAAGACTTTTTGGCAATATTTAATTAAACTTATAATATAAGTTGCTAGATAGCAATTAGTGTGCTAGTGTTCCAGTATAGTTTGGTTTGAAATGATTTGGACAGATTTTGAACTGAAAAGTCTACAATCTAAAAGTTAAATAATGAATGGTAGGATATGATATGGACTGTTACATTTGAAAGTTGATCCACTCAATGAAATTTGGTTTAGATTAATTGAACCATTCACTCTACGTATGCTTGCAGTGTTATTCTTTGATTATTAAACTAAATTACCAGTTCAAATTTAAGTTGATGAAAATAATAGATAGAAATAAGTATCCTTAATAGATGTGCTTGAGAAGTTGCCAACATAATACTGTATGAAATCCAGAGAAAAATTGTTTTACTCAGGAAAAAAACAATGGTTATCTCAGCAGTGTCATAAAAAATGCAGATAATTAATTGAAGTTGTTCATTGTCGGACCAAACAATACCATCATAAAGGCATCACCCCAAGGTTTTCAATAAAGCATTACTTAAGAAATAATTTGACAAAAGAATTTGGTTTAATGTCTTCTCTATTTTCGTCTAAGAATCTTAAATAGATCATTTTCTTGTTCAGTGTTTCAATTGGGTCCTTACTTTTGTAAAATTGAATCAAAATAAAAATCTGTATCAATGATCAAACGCGTTAAAGAGAGGTTCCATGGCATGCTAACAATATAGTTTATTTACGTGACCATTAAAAACGTGTGTGTCAATTGGATTTTTTTAATTTTTGAATTAAAAATGAAGTATACAGAGTGGAAATATAATTTAAAAAAGGGCAAAGTTAGGAAATCAAAAGCCTTGTTCTCCTCTACAGTTGCGAAAACAAAATCAAAATGGGGCAAATTGAGTTTTAGGACTCCTAGGAATATATACTTAGGGTGGAGGAATCGCAACTCTAATGTTGTTATCACTTCTTACCTTGAACATAAATGGTATAATGTTCGGTACTTTAAGATTGAATCTGGTGGAGAAGTAAAAGCTAATTAAAAGTTGTTTGCATAAATAAACTCTAAAGGGTGAAAATGAACATAAATTGATTTATAAGTAATTTTCTGGAATTTGTGATTAATTGGTGGAAAAGACAAATGATTTGAACAGAAAGACGATGAAACAATGACATAGGAAGTAAAAGAAAAAGAAGCAACCTGTACAGAGAGGAACTTGTTGAGCAGGAAAGTGAGAGAAAGAATGAAATTAGAATAAAAAACTAAGTTATTTAAATCATTACTTTATAATAACTTCCAAAACACTGGTGACTCACCTATAGCACTAAAGTCTGCAACCTGACTCGGAAAGCAATTGCAATAGTTTAAGTTGGTTTAATGTCTCGGTAGGTCCTTATTGTCGGAATCTCAAATAGGGGCTTTTGTCAAATTCAGAGAGTGTCGTTAAGAAGGGTGTACGTGACCTGCTGACAATGTCTTTTTAAATGATGTGGCATTAAAAATGTGTCTCAGTTGTATTTATTTTATTTTGAATTAAAAAAATGAAGTTACAGGGTTGAAATTAAATATAAAGGACAAAGTTGAGAAATCAAATTAAATTAAGTATCTAAATGGGGCTTGCCACATGGAAGCCCTTCCTCACCCAAATTAGGGTTTAAGAATTGGGATTTGGAAGGCTTTGCTTCTGCTCCTCTGTCTGCACGATGAAGTGTGCTGCTGTCAATTGTCATGGAGATCTTTGTGCACGAAAGAAAAATTTCTCCTGTGGTTGCGTTTTGATTTTTGCAAGTGCTTATCTCTCGCGATGATGGTGGAAAACGAAGGGAATCACGCTCCTGAGTTTCACCTCCTGAGTCTCGATCGTGCTTGAGCGACTAGGGTTCGCTGATTTGGGGATTTTTCTACGTTTTAGGGTTCCTCTACCGTTTCTGGTTTTTCTTCGTTTCAGGTTGCGAAGATAGTGGATATCGAATCACGATTGGTTGGCGGCCTAGCGAGTAGCTCGCGAAGAGGCGCTTGTGTGGTGGGTGGTCTCTGCGGCGGCATTGACGAGGTGGTCTAGTGAAGATTCTTCACAATGGCGGTTGATTTGGGAATTTTCGCAGATTCAACTTTTTTTTGTCAATTTTGCATCAGTTCACATACATATTTTTTCTGGTTTTTGATTTGGGAATTTCGCAGGTTCTGATTTTGCTCGCAGTGGTGAAAATGTTGGGCGAACTCGCGATTGGATATGCAATTTACAGTTCTGTTCTATGGTGGCTGCCTTGGAAGTGTGATTGGCTACCGGAGAAGATGAGGATGAATTCCAGGCGCAAGTGTTGGTGTTGCAGTGCTTTTGGACCTTTCCATGTGTTCTATGAAATGAGATGACCACTTTGCCCTTATTTAAATTTTATTTTCCCTCTTGCACTCCATTGTAATTCAAAAATTAAAAAAATACACTTCACACACGTTTAATATCACATCATTTTAAAAGACACTGTCAGAATGTCACGTAACACCCTCCTTAACGGCGTCTTCTCAATTTGACGGAAAGCCCCTATTTGATTCAATTTTACAAAAATAAGGACCCAATTGAGACACCAAAAAAGAAATGGACCTATTTGAGATTCCGAACGAAAATAAGGACCTACTGGGACATTAAACCTTAAAAGTTTAATTGCAGTGCCCAAGACGCGAAAAAAAAAACAAAAAAAAAACAAACCTAAATACAAAAGCATGAAAAGCCTAGTCCAATATTCAACAGAGAGAACGGGGGTAACTGATTAATTTGTTCATGACTCAGAAAGAGAAGAGGAAAAATGTGAAGATAGATCCGTTGAGAGAGTGTTGTGTAATAAGAAGAAGAAGCGAGACGAGGAAATGTCAATCGAGAAGTTGCCCCTTTCTTTGCAACAACGATTTTGTTTTCTCCCAGAACTCAAAACTCACTTCTCTTGATTCGATTTCGGAAAAAAGAGGGACTGGTGCACTTATTTTAATTCTTTTGCCCACTTTGATCTTGTTTTAAATTTATTTCCTATTTTTTGCACTCCATTTTTAATTCAAAAAATAAAAAAAATACACTTCACACACGTTTTTAATGTCACGTAACACCATCTTTAACGACATTTGACCAATTTGATGATAATCCTTTATTTGATTCAATTAAGGATCGAACTAAGAAGTCGAACAAGAAGTAACCTATTTGAGATTCTGGACGAAAATAAGAACCTAACGAGACATCAAACCCAAATATTTAATCAATTTTATTACCTGACGAATGATCTAACTAGTGTATCTTATTCTATGTACTATCTCTCAGTACAACGTTATTTAGATTTTCATTATATTTCAAAATGATTCAGGTCAACTAAAGTTTAAGAATAATTTCTTTTAATAGGATAACGAATGAATTTAAACTTTCTTGTCTATTTAAAATTCCTATGAATTACAAGTTTATTTACTTTTCAACTTCACATGGCCATTTTCATTAATTAATAACAACAACTTAATTAAAGACTAAAAAATGTACTTTAATGTTTGTTTATTTCAATTTGAATAAAAAAATTAATTACTAAATTTATTGAATAAATACATAGTGAATCAATTTATGTATGAAATTTTTAAAATTTAAAAATCTCAAACATGTCATTGGCCGTGGCCCTTCTCTGTGTTATATTAAAAACATAAAAAGGTAAAAACACATATAAAAGGTTAACCTTTAAGCCTTTGTTAACATTAATGAAAAATAGACAAGAGAAGAATTTACTATAGGAAAAATAAAGGAAAGATATTTTTAAAAATGGTCATCAGCAAGTCTTTTTGTTCTTCTTGGACGAAACGTGGTAGTCATTTATCAATAAAGATGCAAAATTTGATCTTTGTATCTTTGTAGCAGTCTAAGTCTTATATCGGCGTAAATGAGAAGCTAAATCAAATTAGTTATATAAGAAAAAGACTTATTAATTTATTATTTTAAAATTTTGATATTATATGATTGAGTTTAGATCTCGTTATTTTAAAATTTTGATATTATATGATTCAGTTCAGTTCTCAATTTTTCGATGAATTCTTTATCTGAATAAACCTAGAAAGTGGTACCACATAGTTCGTATTGGGACCCAATCAACGGTCGAAAATATTCCTAAAAAAAGGATTCCAGCTAACTTGTCCCATTAAAATGAAGGACATTACGAAAAGTATTTTCCAATGTGACTCATGCTGTCTTTCTCCACTGAACCCCACTCTTGATAAAGCCAACGTGATGAAACAAAGGTAAGAAAATTTCCAAGAATTCTGGCCTCTCATTTGCTTGGAATAGATATCTTGAGGTAAGTGAAATGAGTAGAATTGTTGTCGATTTTACTGATATACACTATATCCCTATCAACCACTCAAGAATCGTATCAACTTCAAACTCTACTACCATGGCTCTTCACCATAACAAAGTGTTGTGTAGTGTATAAATAGTAGAAGAGTTAAGAAAGTAGAGAGTAGAAAGTAAAAGAAGATATGGAAGCGGTGGAGCATTCTCCATTGTTTGAGACAAAGAGAGCCAAAGGAAGGGTCTTTTACAAGATCTTTTCTTTATCATTGTTTGTGGGGATTTGCTTCATCTGGGTTTTCAGAGTGAGTCACATACCCAGAGAAAGTGAAGTTGGGAAATGGGGTTGGATTGGCTTGTTTTTTGCTGAGCTATGCTTTGGTCTTTATTGGCTTCTCAGACACCCCTTCAGATGGAACCTTCTCTTCAGGGAACCTTTCAGACAAAGGCTATCTCAAAGGTACACCATGCACTCATCATACTTTCTTCTTTAATTCATTCACTCACTTCTTATGCACCTTTTTCTCTACTATCAGAACTCTTCCAAACTTCACCCATTATCAATTCAAGTTCTATAACATCCAAAGCCATAACAAAACTTGTGATAGTATGACTTATTGTATGACACAACTCACTTCAGTTACTAACTAATAAAGTCTCATTTTATTTTTCTCTTTTAAATTCTTCTGGTTGACATTCCACTTCATCTTTAAACATGTTTTGTCATATTTAGGTAAGCAAACTTCATTCACTGTGCTGGAAACTCTAAAAAGAACTATGTAATCTAAACTTCTTCCATCACTCTTTAAATTTGTTCAACTTTTTTAATATTAATTCTTTTCTTAAAATGCAGAAAGATTTATTTATATTTTATTTTAGATTTTTCCATAGGCAGTGTGAGGTGTAAGTTTATGAAATGTTATAGGATTGATAGATTTGGTAATAATTTTTCATGAAGTTGTCTGTGGAAGAAAAGGTGAATATAGTACCCATTTGTGGCATTGTCATGTGGGGATACCATTCATCAACACGTGAGCAAAATAAAAGCTGTGATTTTAAACAAAAATCATTATATTTGTCTTTATAGTGGTGTGCCATCAAAATCATGTGATTTGTCTTTATAGTGGTGTGCCATCAAAATCATTATACTTTGTTTTGTTTGAGTAGGGACTCACCAATTTATAATCAAATACTAAAATTAAAAATACATATATTTGAATTTTTAATTTTGAAACGAGAAATTTATATATTTAGTATGTGTATATGATTGATGAAAGTATCCAAATCTTTTACCCTCATCTGCATAATTCATAGGAAACTAAACAGATAAAACAAGCATATATATTTTTTCTTTTTCTTTCCTTTCATGCTTTCACGTTAGTACACTGAAATTCCATAGAGAAGTATAAAACGGAGAAATAAAGTGTATGTTGTTGAAACAGATATGAGAAGGTGTTACCAAAAGTGGACATCTTTGTGTGTACAGCAGATCCAGGAATTGAGCCACCAGTGATGGTTATTAACACAGTGCTATCAGTTATGGCATATGAGTATCCACAAGACAAACTCAGTGTGTATCTTTCAGATGATGCTGGATCAGATATTACCTTCTATGCTCTCTTAGAGGCTTCCATCTTTGCAAAACAATGGCTTCCATTCTGCAGGAAATTCAAGGTGGACCCCACCTCACCAGCTGCTTATTTCAAAACCATTGACTCATCCACACACGCCAAAGAGTTGATCACCATCAAGGTCACTTCTTTTCTGCTATTTTATTGGCTATTTTATAACTTTTTTTCAGTAGTGATAGTCTTAATCAAGTGTTTTTACCTCACACTAGGTCAACTTTAGTAAATTTAATGAGATATATTAAAACGTTGTAAAAAAAATATCATTTTTATCTTATAAAAGAATGGCAAGAACTTTTCATAGAAGAATAAATATTGATCAATGCTTCAAACCCATAGTAATTTGTACACATCTATGCATTTGAGATTGGATCCCAATGCTTGTGGTATCCACAAACCTTATTCACTTTTTGATTTAATTAATGATTACAAACTGTTTGTATGTACTTGACATGTGCAAAAAAATACCATAAAACAAGTCATTAATGCATGGAATTAAAGTGCAGAAATTGTACCAAGATATGGAAAGTCGAATAGAAAATGCAGCCAAGATGGGTAGAGTACCAGAAGAAGTACACTCAAAGCATAAAGGGTTTTCACAGTGGGATTCATATTCTTCCCGAAGAGACCATGACACAGTTCTTCAAGTATGACACTTTCTCCTAAGCACTTTTGGTTTATAAAACTAGCTATTCTGATAATTAATGTATTCTGTTAACAATATGTATATTAATAAAGTTCCACATTAGTCTCACTAACTAAACTTTAATTTTTATTTATAGAGGCAAACATTATGCTTCACTTAATAATATAATATTAAAAGTAATGTTTGAATATTAATGTTTACTCTCTGTACTGCTATAGTTATGCCTGGTATAATATGCATTATTTTCTTTATAGATATTACTACACGAAAAGGACTCGAGTTCCAAGGATGTAGATGGGAATGTTATGCCCCTATTGGTATATTTGGCTCGTGAGAAGAGACCTCAAGTTGCACATAACTTCAAAGCTGGAGCCATGAATTCATTGGTATTGTATATACCTTTCATGCATTAACATTTATGGTAAGGTTTATGCATGATGCTGTGAAATTAATCATTGGTTGTGTATTATGTGTTCTTGGTTCTAAATGCAGATAAGAGTGTCATCAATGATTAGCAACGGGGAAATTATCCTTAATATAGATTGTGACATGTACTCAAACAATTCTCAATCTCTAAGGGATGCACTCTGCTTCCTCATGGATGAAGATAAGGGCCATGAGATTGCTTATGTGCAGACTCCACAGTGTTTTGTGAATATCACCAAGAATGATCTATATGGTGGTGCTCTCCGAGTAGTTTATGAGGTAAATTAGTTGATGATTTTTTCTTATCAAACCAAAGTTGTTCATGATTAATTTGCATTGTTTTCTTTGACAAAAGGGCACTCTGCAATGTAGATTACCTAAATGAAAGTTTGTGATGGTTTGAATCTTGAACATTGAAGGTGGAATTCCATGGTTTGGATTCACTTGGTGGGCCTTTGTATATTGGAACAGGCTGCTTTCACAGAAGAGAGATACTGTGTGGAAGAAAGTTCAGTGACCAATATAAGAAAGATTGGAATGAATACAAGAATATTGGTGATATGAAAGAAGTAAGCTTGCATGAACTGGAAGAACAATCAAAGGCTCTTGCTAGTTGTACATTTGAGAAAAACACTTTATGGGGAAAAGAGGTCACATTCTTTCTCGTTGGCCCTCTCTCAAGCTCTTGTTATTGTGATAATGATTAATAGATAAATGAACCTCACTTTTTTAAGCGGTTCGGTAATCTGTAACTAGCTTTTAAGTTTAATCTTCCATGCATGACTATATGATTTAGATATATAGTGTTTTTCACAATAACAAAGAAGTTATCTATAATAGTGTAACAATGACTAATCTATTGAAGATATATGAATATTTGATTTCAGGTGGGACTGCTATATGGTTGCTCATTAGAGGATGTTATGACAGGTTTGTCTATTAAATGCAGAGGATTGAAATCAGTGTTCTATAATCCTCAAAGGAGAGCTTTCTTAGGTGTAGCTCCAAACACCTTGCCACAAACACTAGTTCAACATAAGAGATGGTCTGAAGGATGCTTTCAAATTTTGCTTTCCAAGCATAGTCCTGCATGGCATGCTTATGGATTAATCAGTCCTGGCCTCCAAATGGCATATTGTTACTATAACCTATGGGCGTTTATTTGCTGGCCAACACTATATTACTGCGTCATCCCTCCACTCTATCTCCTTAAAGGCATTCCCTTGTTTCCACAGGTATGACTGTGAGACCTACTTCACAGCACAAGTATTACAATAATTTAAGTGTGAGTTTAAGTATGACATTGGGTAGAAATGCACATTAAACACCATATATGAAAAAAAGACTCATATAAACTCAATGCTTCGAGGTTTAGGAGATAAGAATGGTGTCAGTTCCTTTTATGGGTTGGACTCATGCCACATATATATATAATCTCTTCTTATTAAATCATCGTATGAAAAACCTCATCAACAAGTATGGTTGTCAAGAACCGAATCTCTCGTTTAGGCTGTTAGATAAAATCATGTGAACGTTTGTGTTTTTAGTTTCTGACATAGTATCAAAATTTTACCTTGTTGCATTGATCAGATGTCAAGTCCATGGTTCATACCTTTTGCATATGTGATTCTTGGTGATTCGTCTTACTGTATGATGGAGTTTTTGTGGTCAAAAGGCACAGTAAAGGGTTGGTGGAATGAGCTACGGATATGGCTGTACAAGAGAACAAGCTCTTACCTCTTTGCTTTTCTTGATACCATCTTGAAGTCTTTTGGCTTTTCAGAATCAACCTTTGTAGTATCTGCAAAGGTAGCAGAAGAAGAAGTTTCCCAACGATATGAGAAAGAAATCATGGAGTTTGGAAGCTCATCCCCAATGCTCACTGTGTTAGCAACACTTGCATTGCTCAATTTGTTTTGCCTTCTTGGCAGTTTCCTAAAGCAAGTGTTCATCAGTGAAGGGGGTCTCAGAATTTTTGATGCAATGGCATTGCAAGTTATTCTAAGTGGGGTTTTGGTTCTGATCAATGTACCTGTATACCAAGGACTTTTCCTAAGAAAAGATGAGGGAAGATTACCAATATCTGTTGCAGCAAAATCCACAGCATTGGCTCTAAGTGCATGTGCACTCTTTATTTCCTTAAGTTAAGATGTTTGATATTTTCAGTTTTAGTTTTCATGTTCTTGATTTTTACGAAGTTCTACTTTTTAGCGAAATAATTTAGAAAATGTGTACCCTAATCGTCACAATTCACCAGTAGTGTTGTTCTTTTTATTCAAGTGATGAACAATTTGACCTTTTTTTATTTGTATTTGTCAATCAGTGTTGTTTTTGTTACATTTTTTGTCATGCACAATTTTCTTATATTTTTTGTCTCTCCCTGTATTTAACCTAATGGTTTAAAAAACACTATATACCAAGATCATTACATTTTGCATTAACTCTTTAACTGTTTGAAAAATGGTGCACCATTTAATTTTATTCATGAGGGATATTAATGTAAATCTAAAAAAATGTGTCAAAAACACCGTGTAATCGAATTCAAACGTTACTATCAAATACGTTTATAATTTTAAATAAATTTAACAATATTGGATTAAAATAATTAAGTTTACATATTTATAAAATTGAGAGATTAAATCACATTAAAATTTTGAGATGAATTAATTTTAATTATCATTAAAAATTAAGGGATAAAAATGTATTTAACTTAAAAAAATAATTATATAGATTCTTAAATAAAAATATTTTGAAATGATAAAAATTATATTTTAAATTATAAAATAAAAAATACATTTTAAACTGTACAAGTCCAAATTTATTTTTCAATAAACATAAAAAAGAAAATTATCTAATTATTATAGATAGAAAATGATTGGTGTTAATCAAATATTATAATTGGTATATTTCAATTAAACTTTTAATTTTGATTTTGAAAACAAGTAATAATATGTGACTAATCTCCACTCAAAACATCTTCTTAACATTCATTGTTTTTCTTTTCTTTTTTCTTATTAGGTTATATCAATAATTCTCTGTCTCCTATTTCTATCTCCTGCATTGTAGTCCAACACGTGTTGTCGTAAATACGAACATGATTCACATAATCGTTAATAACTTAGACCTCAAACCTCCAAAACTGCTCCACAAAACAAAACCCATCAGCGTTCCTCTATAATTTTTCCTCGTACAATCCTACCCTTTGGAGCAAAATATTGATAAAAGAAGGTAACATTCTTCAAATTTGATTCTTGCATGTATGTTTCTAATCATGTTGATTCATTCTTATGAGATCCGTTGATTGAATGGTTAAATTCTTAATTTGGAATTCTTTTTCGAGAGACATCCATTGTTGTACGTTTTAGAAGTTGCTATATGAATGTGAAACCATGGAAATCAAAGGATCAGATTATGATGTCAAATCATGTACCTTTTCAAAAAGTAATGGATCAGGGTCATGTACTGTAAGAAATATTAAGGAAAATTATGATGGAAATGATGCAAATGCAAAGAAAGTTTTAAGCTTAATGATATGAGTCTTGTTGAATATGTGTGAATGAAGGTAGTGATAGAGATGAAGGTAGCGCTATCAAATTTTGCCACTGCAATGGTAATCTTTTCCAGCATGAATGCGGTGCTTGGGATCAGATTTGTGATTGACAGACGTGAATGTTTCTCTCACAATGTTGAGCACGAAGGGGATAGAGTTCATGCTTCATTTGTTGTCATCAAGGTTGATGCATCTTGGCAATATACTGATGATGGTGTAGACCTTGAGGTAACAACTGTGAAAGAAATTTCGGACCCTTTTCTGTGAAAATGTTTTCCAGATCATGCAGATTCCTCATTTGAAAAAAAATGATGGAATCATGTATGATTTGAAAAACTCAAGTCACAGTACAGTACATAGAAATTAGTGAACTCTTAAATAAGTATTATCTAGGATTCTGACATGTATTTTAAAGTTGCTTTCGATGTGAGAACAAAATTATGAATTCGAAGAAATTATTACATGTCCTGTTACATTATAGTTCTTGAGAAATCAACTGTGGACACAATAGTTTTTGTTGGATTTTCAGGTGAGGGGACCAGCTGGTGAACCAATTCGAGATTTTCTTGACGTGACAAGTGAAATATTCGAATTTGTGGCTCGAAGCACTGGACCCTATCGCTTCTGCTTCAATAACAGGTCTCCCTATCATGAAACAATCGATTTTGATGTCCACAGTAACCACGTTGAGTTTTCTGATCATCATGCAAAAGATGGTGAGACATATACGACTGATTAATTAATTTCATACGTTTTTGCAACTGTGGACCCTCCTGAATTGGTGAGTTACTGTTTACATGGTCATCTTTGCAGAGCATTTAGCTCCTTTGTTTGAAGAGATAGTAAAGTTAGAACGAGCTCTTTTCAACATTCAGTATGAACAGCATTGGCTTGAGGCTCAGACAGAACGCCAGGCAATAGGTACATTTCATATCACAATGATGTTCTGTTGGTTTGATTTCTTGGATCCATATGTCTATAGAACTAAACAAATGTAGTTGAATAAAAATGTGGAAACATAGTGATAGAAGAAGACGAGGACAGGGGCTAAAAGGGATGAGGAGTATGGGTAAACTTATTTTAATAAACTGATATTGTTACCCACGACATTGAGTCTAATAGAAGGGATTAGTCTTTAGTAATCAAGATTAGTATTTTTTAACTTTATGTCCACCTAGTATTCATGTTTTAAACGGGATTGACCTTTTAAGGAAGATATTTGAGAAAAATAATTAGTTTAAGGCTTAGAAAAAATTGTTTTAAACTTGACGTTGAACCACTATTCATTCATATTCAACTCAACTCGTCTACTTAGGTTTTGGAAACATTCAAATTTCCACAGAAACTGAGTTTCATTTTGAATTTGTGGTCTCCTCGCATCTTGCTGCTTAGGAAGACTATAAAACCTTGTTGTAGTTGGACAGGGCACCTAGGACTAGGTTTAAACGAAATTAAGACAACTTTGGCATTTTTTTCTTCGTGCAGAATTTATTTAATATATAATCTTACCAGCCGTAATGTTATATTCACACAAAACATGTTTTGTTTTTTTTTTAACATGAGATTTCAGATTCGATGATTATAATTATTCCCAGCAATCTGTGTTGATAATGTTTTCACTGACAGGTTTCATATAAAATATAGAACTGAATAGCATGGATGTAGATAACATGACAAAACATATCTAAGATTTTAATTTATATTGTTCATTGCAATTACAGTGGGCAGTGCAATGAGCTCGAGAACGATTCACAAGGCGCTACTTGAATCAGCAGCACTAATAGGTGCCAGCGCCCTCCAAGTTTATCTTCTTCGTCGCCTCTTTGAACGAAAGCTTACTGTTTAGAATGAATTTTGTTGGCCTTTATATAGGCTACAGTCACATAGCATGCATTGGATGTTGGAACAGAACCACCTCATTGAAGATGGGCATTATTTAGTAGCTTGGCTCTTCTATTTAGGCAAATGGGCATGTTTTGCCCACTAATGCTAGAGTCATGTTGACGTTCCTGCCTCCAAGCTTACTAGTTAGTCCAGTCCTCTTAGATTTTCGCATTCAAAGAGAACGAAATAAATGATAAATAATAGTCAGCTGAATTCTTTGAAAGGAATTTCTGCAAAACTGTCAACTACAAAATGAAGAGAGAAAAAAAAAACACATGCAGAACATATTACTTGTATGATGCACAGGTATATGTCATGTCTTGTAGAGCAAAAGAAAGAAAGCACAGATTTGTCTCATTCATTCTTGTTTTTTAATTCGTCTTTCCCAACTTGGAAGATAACCCAAATTGGTCGAACTGGAAAAGAATAGATTGTTGTAATAAATAGCAAGATAAGCCAAATTGAAAACATGATCGGGGGAACGAAATCAAAGGAATAAAATGAGTTCATAAAATAGGATTTGTTTGATAATACAAGCAATACAATGTGACAAGCAACGCTCTAGCTCATAGCGCAAGACAAGGCAAAACAGGAAGCAACCCCGGCTCCTAATAATAAACCACAACACTGATACACACACAAATAATAGTCTGTCTTCTTCCCTTTACCCCATTGCAGCTCACTTTTACAGCACAAAATATAAATTCCGTAGAATTCGCTCATGGCTCTACAGCTCTTATCTTTGCGAAAATACTGTGAAGCTAGTTACACATAAACATTGTTCTTCTGTTCAGGCTTTTCGAAGGAGCAACCATTGCTATCCTATCATTCGGCAGAAGGTTGCATGCAGCAAAACCATTTTTTCTGAAACCACGAAAAATCATTCATCAGGATAAATTAACAAATATATAAACTGACTGGATTATTTTGACTGCTCCACATCTTAATTACATCTCAGTATGACTATCTAAACCTACCACAACCTAATGCAGATCAATTTCTGAGCAATCTGCTCAATCATACTTCATTTCAAAGGTTTACAAATAATCAGCGCTGGCCAACAATAGACAAATTATTAGTCCAAATAAAATCAACTAAAACATATGCACATCTTTTCCTCTTTTGTTTTGGATTTGGACACTCTAATCTTTTTAATTTCATCTATAGATCACAGTTTGACACAAGACCAAATATATTTTAAGCAAGAGTGAAATACTAGTAACAACTGAAATTGATAACCCAACCAAGGTTATAACTCAAACTAAAAATCATGGTTTCAATATATCTGGGATTTAGTAGGCCAGAGCTTTGTATTCTTAGTCTAGCACATCTTGTCAACATACATATTGAGTTACTTTGCTGTCCAACAGTTTCTCATTCATGCCAAAAACACAAGCATATATATGAAACATGGTGCACACGTATCACAATCAACATTTTTTTGCAAGGTTAAACTTACTCTTGTAGATGGGAAAAACATGCCATGTTTAGATTATGAATAAAAAAGTTGTCTGCGTGTCAGGTTAGTGAGAGAGGTTTAGTAAACAACATCTTACAGTCTGAGTTTTCCCAGGATCTACTGCAGGTTTGCTATGAGGATCAGCGGCAGTCTTTGCTGGTGACTCAGGATTGCCACCTGTTTTCTTTTCATCCCTAGCCTTATTAAATATCACTGTGAACCCCTCAGCCGAGGCTGGATCATTGACATCCCAATCACCAAATTTTGGTAGTGGCCGACCCTTTTCCTGTGTAATAATTAGATTAGCCAACGCAAAACAAAGACTAAAATACATTAAATTAATTCCTTAAGATTCTTTGGGACTTGATGATTATAAAATCTAGACAGAAAGCAGATAATATAATAGGTTTTCTACATACTGTAAATGTTTGATGTGAATACTAGTATAGATTATATGGGTGCGTATTAAGAATAGAAGAACAGAGACCAAACATAACACATAAAAACAGAGAAATTTAAATAAATGCTAGACATGATGCCATGTAAGTTGTTCTTCTGAATTCTTATTCAATCTCCCGAAAGAGGATTGGTTCTAATTACAAGACCCTTTTTTGCTTATCCATGATACACCAATTCCACAAGGTCAAGTCATCATTTTGAGTTTGAACAGCTTTCTTGATATAACTAATTACATATGATTTGCAGCTCGTCCACAAACCACATAATGCTCCCTCAACATTCATTACTACGCTGCCCACTGATTTAACACTATGGTTTGCAAACTAGGCATCCATGAGGAATATTGGATTTGTCCTGCTAGTTAGGAAATTGAAACAACTTCTACAATCTATACCTTCTCAAATATTAAGTGAACATAACCAGGGTAGGGCTATATGACATTGTACAATTTGTTAGTTATTTGTCTAGTCTTCCCTAGCTCATTTTCACGTTTTTATGGTAGTTTTTTTAGCACTCTCGTTTCCTTTATTCGGATTACTTATTTTCAAGTTATAAACTTCCCTATCGCCCTTTTTTATAAAATTCTATTATTCGCTAACTAAGAAAAATAAAGTCCTCTGGCCAAGTTGTTAAAGCAACAAGAACAGAGGTTCACATGTCGTAATTCATGAAAAAAAAAGGAGGAAAAAAATACAACAAACCATGAGGCAGTAATTCAGAAAGGCCATGTTGTGCCAGAACAAAACAACTGAAAATACTGTAATTTCACCCCACTCAAAAGAAAAAGGAAATCAACTAGAAATCACAACATATCCGATCTACGAACAATTCCGATACTGATAAACAATAACAGCCTTCACGATTGAGAAGTTAGTAGAAAAGAAATCAACCATAGCACACGGTGTCAAATATAGAAAGAATATAACAGTTAAACCACATACTCAAACAAAACCTTCGATTAACCACAAAATTAAAGGCAAAACTAAAACATCTAAATTATTTACTTAACCACCACTCAGCAGCAACATCCCAAGACTATTCAATTCTTGCACACAACCTACAAAGACCGAATCGGAAAGGCACACAAGCTCCACTAAAGAATAAAAGCATGCTAATCAGAATAAATCAAAGACACGAAACCAAAACGCAAATAATCGAAGAAGGATCACAGCATCAAAATCCGGAAATGTAAAACAAAAAGGAGAGAACAAACAAAAAATATTGCGAAAAAGGGGTAAAATTAACAACAACAAAAAAACAATATCGGAAACGCGAATCAACGACTGAGGAATCGCATACAACAGCTCAAAACAATAATCAGAGAGAAAATCAAATCAATTGAGAAACCACAAATCATTGCAAACACAACAACAAAAAATAGAGAGAGAACAACACATACCGACATCAATACTAAGAAGAGGTGTTCTCAGGGAAGAGAAGGGGCAAGAAAAATGAAATTAATAGGAGGAATCGGAAAGAGAAGAAAATTCTGAGAGAGAAAAAAGGAGGGTGAGAGAGAAAAAGAGAGAATGTTGGAGAGAGAAAGTGCGCGATGACGATGAAGAAGACAGAAAGAAGCTGTAGCAGTAGAAGAGGAAGAAGACCTTGTTGTGACTTGGGGTTGGGCCGAAAGTGGGCCTTACGGAGTTCGTAACGCCATTGGCGGAACGTCGTTACGTGTTCCGCGGGACGAAACAGATGCCGTTAGAATAAGCGTCACTACTGACGTGGCGTGGGGAAAAAAACGGAAGAGTGAGCTGGCAAACGGTGACGGCGTGAGGTGCCGTTGGGTTCTTTTTTTCGATGCGTTTTCTTTCTTGGAAGGGAGCGACTTGGTTCTGAGTTGGTCACTTTTTTGATGATGAGCGTATAAAGATACCTTTTCAATTAAGCAAATTTATTTGCACTAATGCACTATGTTTCATTCATCTTCATGAGTGTATTTCAATATAAGAAACTCTGATCATCTTAATCATAATTATTAGATACATCCTTTCTAATCTTATTTCTTTTCTTATAATTAAGCTAACTAATACTATATTTTGATATGAATATCATGTTATAACAGCACCACTGTCTCAATTATTATAATTAAACCTTTAAATCCATTTTAAGATTCATTCTTTTTAATCATAAATTTCATCTTAATTTCTTTCACATATTTAGCACTGCCAGCTTTTTTTATTTGGATGTTATGAGGGTTTCTCACATGGACGATTTACTAAATGTATTTTTTTTTATTAATGAATACATTACATTAATTTATTTATTTTTTGATGAAGGATATTACTTTAAGTATGAGCAAATTTTGAATTCTATTTCTAGTTGTAGTAGTTTATAATGTAAGATTACATATGTTAGGGATATATTTCTTCATAATGAAAAGGTGGAGTATGAAGACAATGAATGAATTAAAGGAAAAGAAGAAAAGTTAATAAATATTTTTCATTGTTGGAGAAAGTTCTCCATATAAACAGAGTATTCTATATTGTTTTTCTTTCTTTTATTTAATTTTGCACATAGAAGTTTTTTTACTAATTATGNGAACGAAAGCTTACTGTTTAGAATGAATTTTGTTGGCCTTTATATAGGCTACAGTCACATAGCATGCATTGGATGTTGGAACAGAACCACCTCATTGAAGATGGGCATTATTTAGTAGCTTGGCTCTTCTATTTAGGCAAATGGGCATGTTTTGCCCACTAATGCTAGAGTCATGTTGACGTTCCTGCCTCCAAGCTTACTAGTTAGTCCAGTCCTCTTAGATTTTCGCATTCAAAGAGAACGAAATAAATGATAAATAATAGTCAGCTGAATTCTTTGAAAGGAATTTCTGCAAAACTGTCAACTACAAAATGAAGAGAGAGAAAAAAAAACACATGCAGAACATATTCCTTGTATGATGCACAGGTATATGTCATGTCTTGTAGAGCAAAAGAAAGAAAGCACAGATTTGTCTCATTCATTCTTGTTTTTTAATTCGTCTTTCCCAACTTGGAAGATAACCCAAATTGGTCGAACTGGAAAAGAATAGATTGTTGTAATAAATAGCAAGATAAGCCAAATTGAAAACATGATCGGGGGAACGAAATCAAAGGAATAAAATGAGTTCATAAAATAGGATTTGTTTGATAATACAAGCAATACAATGTGACAAGCAACGCTCTAGCTCATAGCGCAAGACAAGGCAAAACAGGAAGCAACCCCGGCTCCTAATAATAAACCACAACACTGATACACACACAAATAATAGTCTGTCTTCTTCCCTTTACCCCATTGCAGCTCACTTTTACAGCACAAAATATAAATTCCGTAGAATTCGCTCATGGCTCTACAGCTCTTATCTT